CTTGAGGGGCGCAGATGTAGAAAACAATGAAAAGAAATAGTATAGTGGAAGTTCATATGATTTATATTACTTATGGGTAGACTATGGCTACTTAAGATGTCGAAGCTTGCCAGCGTCTGAAATAAATGAAATTGAATTTTAAAATAATGATGTACATGAAAAAAAAAAAAAAGGTAGTCATTTGTTCGTCGGTACGTTTATATGCAGATGGCACTATCCATATATTTATAGAGCTTTTACGTCTGTATGGCTGACCTGAGTTTGCTTTCTTTTGCCGCAAATAGACAATAACACGGGTTGACTTGTTATAGCAACATGCTCGAAATAGTACATGTCACGTTGTGTATGCGCAATAAGTGTATTTGCATAAAGAATTTTATTGTGCATCTTCGTTTGCTAAGTCAATACATGGTATAAAGGCAGCTTTTGCCTACTTGTACATAAAGTGTAGTGCTCAGCTATAGAAATATGTAAATGTGTTTAAAAGAAACCCTAGTTAAGCTTTTACTTTACGTAAATCACTCTTTAAATTATGCGCACATACGTAGATTTGAATGTTTGTTCGACATTTGCTTACATGAGCCCACCCCCACCCCTTCTTACTACACACATATAACATTCACGAAGGCATACATGTGCCTGTCTACCGGATTGTGTTGTGTGTGCATTAAGCTTTTTGTGTTACGTTGAAGAGAAAATCTCAAATAAATGTTGATTTTCGAAAAATAAAAATAAAATAAACTGAAATAAGATAAAATAACAGGAACAGCAGCAAAATAGTATTTGCATGTTATCTGTGAATGTGTGTGTGTGTGCTATTGTGCATATCTCTCATATGTAAGAGAATATACATGCATACATAGCTGAAAGTAATGCATTGGCTTGTAGCAAAAGCCACAACATACAGAGTAATGTGTGGCTGTGGTTTGTGTTAATTTTTTTTGCTGTTCTGCCTTGTGTTTGACTCGTGTAGTAGTACGGCTGCTTGCTATACTTGAAAAGAAACTTGCTTTAAGGCATTCATATTTGTATGTTCAGATATGTATGTGTGTGTGTGTGTGTATATACATATATATATATTTTTTTTTTTAAATATATTTAAATGCAATCACTAAACGGATGTGGCTGAAATGGTAGAACGTGCAGTTAGTTATTTTATTTTCTATTTTCGGTTGAATATTTCCTTACATTTCTCGTGAGAGAGCAAAGATTTTTTTTTTTTTTTTCCTTTAAAATATTACCAAAAGCGAAAAAATTTGTATTTTATTTGCAATGTATTTACAAAATTGCATTCTAATAATATAATTATTTCATACGTTCAAATTATGTGAAATATCAGTTTTTGTTTGCTGTTCATTTGAATTATCTTTCGTTTTTGTGCGTTTCCAAGTTCAAAAACGAAAAGAATAAAGAAACAACAAACAAAGCGAAAGATCCGGTATATGTTCAACCATCTGGTGCATAAGAAAAACTTTTATGCTCACAAATTTCTTGATACTTTTGTAAACGCATATAGGTAAGCGAAGTATTTTTTTTTTTTTCTTTTTTTTTTCTAAATCACGTACTTTAGCAATAACTTTATAATGAAATATGTTGCAACGTGAGAATATCGTTTTCGTGTGTTTTTCATAAATTCTCACCTTCTAACCGCACGTCATATACATATGCATGTGTATGTGCATGCACAAACTCATTCAAAATTTATATCATACAATGCATGCATATATATGCTTTTTGTTGTTTGTATTATGTTTTGCGCAGCGCATCGACAAATCCTCTTCTGGAACATTTCACATTTATCATTGGATCGTTGCAGATGTTGTATTTTGCATGTATTGAGAGCGAAGGCAAACTTTCCTCCAAAGCGAGCTTTGCTTTATTTTATTCATATTTATTTTACAAAATTTATTACACATGTACATGTGCTGGCAATTATCAAAATGGCATAAGTTAAAATAATGAAAAAAAGTTAATTTTACTTAATCGAAAAAATATTGACTCAATAGAATTAGGACCAGCGTTCACATGCTCTTTTCAGTCCGTCATTTCGACTTTATACCCGTCGAAGCTGATCATTTCATCTAATTCCATTTAATTAGTGATGTAATCGTTCTTATCATTAGAAAGCGGTTCAGTGGACCGACAAAAAAATTTGATCCATTTCCATAATCGTCAACTTTTATACTCCTTATGATGGCAAGTTTTTGCTTAGAAAGTTAGATTGCAAGCATCGAACCGGCTCAAAGCAACTCGAAAGGAATACGCACGTATCGTTTCTAGTTTGCATTCTCTCTTTTATAGCACGAGTAAGAAACTAGGACACAAATGTGAAGGGTATGCACTATAGTTCTCTACGGAAAAGCTGCATAAATCCTTTATTTTTATTTGATTCGATTGCAGTAGTAATCCTCTAGAACACATCTTTTCATCAGAGATCCTATAAACTCTTTAATAAAGATAAGACTCAAAATTGGGGTAAACCAATTTGGGATTGGAGACCATGTCAGAGCGTATTTCACAGATCCAAAGAGTTGCGCAGATCTCGCCTGAAGACTTGTTTAATATTCTACGAATGTATGGCTGTTGCCTGCTTTCCATCTGTCCATCTCTGTACCATAATTAAAAAAATTGTACTAAGAAGTTCGCTCGTCGAAGTATGGAGATATTTTCAACTTTAGAAAAAAAAACCGAGTTGAAGCTTTTGTCTTCAATGCGCTATGCGTTGCGATCTGGTAGCCATTACCGCCACAGAGTACGTGTTTGAGATTTTTTTCATTCTTACTTTCAATGGATGTTCCTTCCGCAAGAGCTATTATAACTTTTCCATTTATTCGTCTCCGGTTGTAGTTGTAATGTAGCGATTAAAACATTATAGCAAACCAAACCAAATATTTTGAAAAAATTTAAAAAAGCAAAGTTTTACTGCAGACACTCGCAATCATTTGTTTATAAAATTGTCTGATTTTTCAACGAATGTTGTCAATCAATTCTTCTGATATGACTTTTATAAAATTTATGTTAAAAGTTTTATTTGGCTCTGTATGCAGTCGTTTGTAAAAAATTGAAAATTCAAAATTATTATTATTATTTTTTTTTTGTTTTTGTTTTTCTGCTCTGTCCATACACTATATGATTTGACTTTCGTGTAATATAAGCGTTTATTGTTTCAACGGCTTCGTCATTTGATTTTATTATTTTTGGTTTCTGTAGCGTGTGGCCATGACTTCCTTCCCATTTCGCACTTGGCGCATATAAAATATATTGAAAAGTTATTGTTAACGATATTAGCATGAATTCGATATATGGCTATGAAGTCATAGACGAATTTATTGAATGTTTTTCTATCAAATTTAATTTCACTTATTTAATTCTATATCTATTGGCGATTAAAATAATGAAATTGCTGTCACATATGAACATGTGAACACAGAACGCTGAACAACGATATTTTTATTACATCATGTTGGCAGGGAACACAAAACAGTACAACAATAACTTTGACTTATTTTTATATTTCATTCGAAATTTAAATTTAAACATAAATCGATTACAAACTTAATAGAATGCATGGTAAACTAGAAAGCATTTATATTAGTGCCGAAGTGATTGGTTTTAGAAATGTTTTCGTTACGCAATCTATTGTAGTAGTTATTACCCTTTTTACGGCATGCTTTTAAGTGGTTTTTATTAATTTAAGATATTTTTATAGGTTTTTTCCGTTTTTTTTTTTTTTTTTGTTTTTTTTGCTTTCATTTAAAAATTTGATTTTTAATACTTAGGCAAAAATAAACCTTACGATGTAAATGGGAATTGTTGCTGAAAATATAATAAAAAGTTTACGATTCTCATACGCATTCTGCACATTTAAGAGTAAAGAAAAAGTTTTTATTTGAGTTAAGAAAGAAGGGAAATCATGCTTGGTCCATAGCCGTCCAACCTTTGTTTCAAACGAACACGCGCAAAAATTGCTAAAGAAAAAGCTTCCGATCGTCGCAGTAACTCAGGACAAGAATTCTTTCGCAGCCACATTTTTACGAAAATACATTTCGATTTTCGCTCCCTAATGCTTAGAAATCTAAGTAAAATTTGAAGACATTGACGCAAGCTTTATCGCGAATATAGAAGAGAGAAATAAAATTGACGACAATTAAAATTTCCATTGAAGCTAACTTATGATTCATTTCTCTTCATTTTTTTTTTTTTGTAAATTTGGTTGGTTTGGGCCGCAAGTTGGACAATTATGCTATAGTCTCATCTTCGATTGCCGCTTTTTTGTTTTCTTTGTTGAAATGCTTAAAATTTTGCACATTTAAAGAAGAACGTTGAACCAGAAGTTCTTGGTAATTAAAAAAGGTTTACAATGCAAAGGAGGGCGGACAGTAAATGAAATCTTTTTTTTTTTGCCAAACTTACTTCTAAGATATGGAGTGGGGTTGTACGTGTGTATTAATTGGAATTATTGATAACTGCATTTTTTTATTTCCATTAAAGGGTCTTTAGAAGACTTTTGACACATTCCAAAATACTTGTAGATAAATACAGTTTCCACAACGCGTGCACCTTTTACGGTACATGCGAAGAAATTTAATAGTTTTGGACAAATGCTTTTTTTGTGATAAAGGTACATCGTTTGCCACGCAGCTGACGACAGTACAAGTCTCAAACTCTGTTCTAAATATCATTATATTGCATAAAGTAGTGATGACATGAATTAATTATTATGCTTTAGTTTAAAGAAGTAAGAACATCATAGTCGGGCAAGGCCGCCTAGTACAGTTATTCACTCGTTTTGATAACAATACGACAAAGATTACCCATATTCGGGAGAAGCAATGGTCCCATCTTTAGTAGAATATTTTACATTACGTTATTTTACTTAGTGAAGGAGTGAGTTTAACCAAAAAATAAAAAAAAAACAACGCCTGCAAAAATTCCTTTTTAACTTGAAATTATTATTGTTTAAGCTTGAATGCATTTTGTTAAAATAGTTTATCACTTACCAATAGATAATAGTGTTACCATAAGCAACTGTATGGCATTCATGTTAAATCCTTTTTGATTTACTCCAATAATCCTTAGCAATCAGCGCAAATCCAGATGGCAGCTTGTTAGTTGAATAAAACGTACACACATACATGCAGACATACATCTATGCACGCATTCAGTTAAAATATTTTATTCTATTACTTGTACTCTCTTGTTCTCAAAGATTTTCCTATTTATCTTTCACTTTCTAAGGCTTTACTCCGCCTTCGTCGGCGGTGAATGTGCAATTGCACGTCTTTATATAGAGACGTGTGTGTGTGCGTCGTGTTTTTTGTTTTTCCTTTTACTTGCCTCTAAGGTTTCATTTTACATTTTTATTTATTCATTTTTGCCTTTTTCCCGTTCCTTTGCTTAAAAAAAAAAAAAAAACAAAACGTAAATCTCAGTTGCTATCGAATTTTATAGAACTTTATTGTCGTATAAGTATTTAGTATACACGCGTATATGCATTTGTGCATATATTCGAGTGTATAGGGCCGGAAATTTTATGCTGTATTTCTTAAGCGTGAACTAAGAAACCGGAAATGCGTTAAATCAGTGTTAGTTTGAATTATTTGCAGGAAAGCAGTGAAATGGTTTTCTCTGAGCTTTCTTTCCTCTGCTTTTTTTTCTATTTTTTCTTTTGTACGGAGTAGGAGGAAATTGCCATTGCTTGCCGCGTGAATCTATGCGTTAACCACAAAGAACATTCACCAGCGTATTAGTTCTATGGTCGGCTGTGACAAATGTGTTGTTACAGTTTCATATGTTTTACGATGGGTTGGTTTTTAAACACTTTTTTCTTACTTTTTTTTTTTTTTTCTTTAGTATTTTTTTCTCTTACATTTTATATTCTCACAGCGTGGTATATAAACTCGGTTCATTTTAAATCGCATTTCTTGTTACTGTGTTCCTGCCGACATACTTCGTTTCTGTTATTTCTTTACTTTTTTTTTTTATTTTATTTTCTATTTTCTTTACTAGCTTGTCATGAAAAATTTATGTTATTTTTTATATGAATATATAGGTGTCGAGGGGAAGCGGGTAGCTTTACATAGCATTATTATTATTATTTTCTTTTCTTTTCTTTTCTTTTTTTGAAAGCAAACAAAGAGGAGACGAAAGATGTTATTTATTTACATTTTTCCAATTTTAAATGCACAAAAATGTGTTATGAACAACACAAGCAAATAGAATGCGGAAGAAGTAAAAGAAAAGAAAAAACCAAGAAAAGGAAGAGGCAAATAGAAAGAGGTAGAGAGAGAGAGAGAGAGAAAAAGAGAGAAGAAGGAAGAAAAGCAACAAATAATTGTTGTTATGTGCTTGCTATGAGCATTGCATTTGAACGCACTCATGTGTTTGCGGTTTAAATTAAAGAACGGCACATGCACACAAGCATACGCACATTTATGGCAATCTTAGTATAAACATTAAACAGGAATCATTTTTTAAGTGAATGCGTTCCGGCATAATTTTCTTCTCATACATTTATGCATTCGTTTTACTTTTCACATTCTCTGAACTGCTTCCTTTGTTTGCAATCTAGATGCCGAGGGATTATTTGTAATGTCACCTAAAACAATTTCATTTTACTGCCAACTACGATAACACCGTTAGATTAGCCAATCAAAAATTTCCTCTGGAAGGCTGGTTAATAAAACCATTAAGATCTCGATCGGAGGATTTTTCAATCTTCAATTCAATGGTGTTTTTGGTTTTTAAGGATGGAGATATTTGCTCGATTTTATCGACGGTGATGTAACACATTGTATCACACGCTAGAAGGCTCACAAAGCCAGTTCGTGTGTGTGTGTGACAGTCGATCCTAGTTTTTCCAAAGGTGTTCGCTTATCAAGTCTGTATTTTTCTTTCATTGAATTAATGAGAATGTTTTTCAGATTTTAGGCTACTTTCAAGGAACCAAAGTATCATCTCGGACGGTCGACCAGTAATGGTGAAGATATCCAGCATCAGTGGGTTTAGTTTACGAATCGTATACCATTTGTGCTATGGACGAAATGAATTCCGTAGTGTATACGAAATAGCGCAACTTGTGCAAATAATGCCACTCCCTTTTTGTTTATCTCTTCTCCCACTTTTTTACTCATTTATTGGTTAATACGCACTCATTGAAAATGATTAATGGAATAGATAAAGGCATTCACTTGCTTTCCTTTCTAACTTATCCTATGTAAGAATTTTAATCGTGAAATTTTGTTTTTTTTTTTTTTTTTTTATAGAAAAAGGAGAAAAATGTCTTTAAAATCTGTCATCTATCCGTTGAATTCCATGAAATAGTTGTTGCAGTGAAGACTTGGAGAAGAGTTGGGTCTTCGACAAACAATATCTTCTCGAAGTCATGATCTCCGAGCCTCTTCGATGACACTCGAAGATGTAAACGCAAGCACGAATCAGTTTCCATTCAATGTTTCATAACATTGCATATGCAAAGCTAAAAGAGCTGCAAAATTTGTTGCTAAATAAGTCAAAGTGACATTCAGTTGCGAGAAAAACTTATTTACATAAACAAATTTTCACATCGTTATAATATCTCTCCTCTGTCCTAACCACTAAAGTATTGTTTCTAAACGAGTAAATTATTGTTGGCTTTAGGAAGAGAATTTGTTCTCGCCAAAAACAAAAGGAGACACATTACGTGTTTTCTAAAGTGCAGTTACTCTCCTCTGTAGGACTGCGACTAAAAAAAAATTAATTGAAATGAAAAATTTAATGTTTAAGTTTATAAAAATTTCTCGAATATTTGCTTGGAGCCACCATTTAACGACAAGTCATTCCGCTTTTCAAAATATATCACACAACACAGGAGAATATGAGTTCAGTGCATACACGTTTGCATACAACAAATTATCTTCACATTGAATGTTATTATTTTTTTTTAATTTCTGAGTCAAATAGTGGCGCATAGCGAATAGCGTGTGTGCATACCTTATACAAAACAAAAAAAAAAAATATATATATATATATATTTATATATATATATGTATATGTATAAATAAACGGAAATAAAAAAATGATGACGTATCTGGCTGGTTAACTCAACAAAATATAAAAAATTGAAAAAGAAAACATTTTTTTAAAAAAATATTTGATAAAATATTTTAGAGTTTTCATAAAATGAACTCGTCTCTGCAGAAGCACTTTTTTAATAAACACAAGCGAATCATGGGCTAAAGGGAAGAAAACACCGACCCTCTAAAATAAATGAAATAACAAACGCATAACTTATGCGATTTAGGTCGAATCTTTTCATCTTTAAATTTTTGCGTTTTAAACGAAGCAAAAGGAGCTAATCGCTGTGAAAAGCAGGCCTTTCATGCATGCATGTTAGTACGCAGCTACCAACACATACTAAATGAGGTTGAATTTGGTTGAAAAAGACACCCATGTGCGACGAAGGAGACCTTCAATTCATTGTCTAACATAAGCGAGGCTATGGGAGAGTTCTAGGCTTTGTTCTTAGCTTTTGTTTTCAGATTTTTAGACTCAGTGCGTTTTATATAGGCAATCGGTCGGTATAGCTTAAAGGATGGTTGAAAGTTTCGAGAAAAACATTCCTTATTAGTAAATTGAAGTATTTGTCCAGTGCCTCTTCAATTTCCCTTATAAACCTAGAAGGAACTGAATTAAGCTAGAATTTTCAAGTGGAAGGGGTTGTATTAATTACAACCAGTACGCATAGCAGTATTTCATTCTATTCTAACTGTCGACTCATTTCTTTCAATAAATGCGTTCAACTGCTAATCGCTTTCGTTTATAAACGAGTTTTTGAAGTCAACTGCTTAGCTTACAAGACTTATTCGCAGCTTTTTATTCTTGTCTTCACATTTCCGTTTGTCGCCCCAGGAGAAAGTTTTATTCGTATAGAGAATCTTGATCGCTCAATAATAATTCTTTATATTGTTATACTGTTATGTAAAATATGTTTTCAAATAATATGCGCGTTTGAATACAAGGCCGACTGTTTCCCAAACTTCCTGCGATAGGGTGCATAATACTGTGGCTGACCGGTTGCATATAGAGACATCAATCATGTGAAATTTCAATTCTAACAATTTTGCGGTATCACTTTCCCGTTCCAACTTTTGTTTTGTTGACTATGTTTTGTTGCTTTCAGTTTTTAGTTTTTAGATATTGTTTTTTTATATTCATGGTGACTAAATAAATGAACGAACGAATGAATGAATGAATGAATGAATGCAATGGATGGATAGAATGAATGAATGAGTGAATGTTTATTATCAATGCACATATGCCCATAAGTGCATATATGTACGTATGCAGGTACATGCATCAAAACATATGCTTCTCTCTGAATAGTCTAAAATCTTTTAACGAATACCAACGTAATAAATAGGATTTTTTTTTGTTAGAAATGAAAAAAAAGAAAGAGACAAATAAAAAAAAAACAAAAAAATAGTTACCAATGAAACCAAAATGTTATTATTTTTATGTAGTTTGCGGCTGGAATAGCTTTATCTGTTTAGTTTATTGTTGTTTATGTTTGTGCAGAAAATTAATACACAAGAACAAAGACATTAAAAAATGAAAAATAAAAAACGCGAATATAATAAAAATAAAATCCTTTCGAAACTTTTATTCAACAATTCATCATAAAACGCTAAATGACTATTGGTTTGGCACTGAAACACTGAAACTTAGTTTTTCCCATAAATACATGTGTATGTCGCTATCTGCGCGTTAAGCATTACGGGTTAATGAAATATAAACAATGCTCCAAGAAGATACGAAAACTGAAAAATAAGTTAATCAACCAACGACGGTTGTCTCTAAACTATTGGCGTTGAAAAGACTCGTACGCAGTGAATGTTTTTATACGAAAACTTTTCTCACTGACCGAAAAGTTGGAAATTGTTCTCTTTAGTTTCAGAGTTTCAACTCTTCTCGCACTGAAGCTCATAAACTACTTTTGGCAATTTCCTAAAACAATAACAGTTCTCAGGAATTTACGATCAAGTCCTGGATCCGTCTGTTTAGCAATCAAATACCTTTCAAAAATTTGTCTGTCAAATATTCCTTCATGAATAAACTGCTTCATGGTAATCGAAATGAGCTTGTTTCAGGACTCAGGTCTTCTATTAGTTTCTTTCGGTGTTGCTCTCAAGTTTAACTTCTTGCGGGTTTACTTATTGGTGAATTGATTGCATTTTTAATTATATTACTGTTCAAATTCACGCAGATGTACCTTTGAGTTTTCAATAGATGGTAGAGATATAGCTGGAGAGATTTTGCTTTTTTTGAAGTCCGCATTGCTACAAGAAGAACGATAAACTTAGTAATCTTCCGTTGCTAGTAGTGGGCAAAAAAACAAAAAAAAAAAAAAAAATACTCCAGAAAAAAATAGTACAATAACAGGCTCTTTTATAAAGAGAATAAATTTATTAAGCCAGCTGCAGGCAGCATATACTACAATTTTGGTATGTCGTCCGTTGCAGACCAACAAACAAACACAGAACTATAACATAGAGTATTACTAGCAGGCTCACGGCATATACTGACAATGGCAACAACAATAGCAATAATAGCGGTAGTCTACTAGACATTCAATATGTACGTGCGTATGTATGAATCAAATGAAATCTGGCAAAAATGG